TGACTAACTCAAATATCCTGTTATTGAAATTGTTTGTGTTGTATAAAAAGTTGTAGTTGAAAAAAATGTACATTAAGTTTCTGGTCAAGCAAAACAATGCGAAACATTCGTCCAAAGCTGGAAATAGGGGTATGAATACAAAATACCTAGCATGAAATATACGTAATGAGCTACATATTGTCGAATGTGTTTTCAAGATGAATATAAAGTAGCTCACCGATCAATACAATCTGTATTCTATATCAACAAAAATCATACGTGTTTCAGAAAACATAATGATTTGATACATTAAGTTTTATTGAACTATAACAAATCAACTAGATTTACAACTTATGTTCTATGAATGATGATACTTTAAGTTTTATTGAACTATAACAAATCTACTAGATTTACAACTTAGGTTCTATGAAAGTTCATAGATTAAGCTTTATTGAACTATAACAAATCAACTAGATTGAAAACTTATGTTCTATGAAGGTTGATACATTAAGTTTTATTGAACTATAACAAATCTACTAGATTTACAACTTATGTTCTATGAAGGATGTTACATTAAGTTTTATTGAACTATAACAAATCAACTAGATTGACAACTTATGTTTTATGAAGGTTGATACATTAAGTTTTATTGAACTATAACAAATCAACTAGATTTACAACTTATGTTCTATGAAAGATGATACATTAAGTTTTATTGAACTATAACAAATCAACTAAATTTACAACTTATGTTCTATGAAAGAAATGAAAACAAATAAAAATATCGGTTTGTTCGGCTATCCACTTGTTCAAATATTTATAGGGATTAAATCTAGATCAATAAGGTTTAAGAACTCAGTATTAGCTCCTACCTTGACCTTTGTTTGTTTCGCAACGAAGTCTGTTTGAAGAAGACCTAAGTCCGTGACGGCATTCACATATTGCTGTTTTCTTGTGTTTCTTGCAGTAAGCCCCAGGTGTCGCTTCTTCACAGTCCTTAGAAGTTTTGCATTTTTTGCCAAGATCTGGATTTTAATAAATAATAATAATTGAACTATTTTCCTCATATTAGCTGTTGTTGTTTTCAGGGGTTTATAGACGCTTTATTGAACAACAACGATTAATAACTAAACTCCTCTCGACTATCTTATTAACTCCACCGCCCATGTGTGTGTGTGTGTGTGTTTATATGTTGGTCAGCAATATTTCTTGAAAACGGCTAAAATGTTTAGTTTTTGGAGGGTCAAGTTCACGAAATTTGAAAAATCCCTTTCTATTAACATGGGGGGACCGATTTTTCACACTATTTTTGTTCTATAACTCAGTCAAAAAATGATCGGATTTTTGTGAAACTTGGTGAACGTATGTAGAATATTATTCCTCATTGTCCTGCCAAACGTGGTCCGTGTACGCTGAAAACGACGGACATCCGGACACATTTTCATATTTTTTGAGAGCCGAATATGATCAACGCCGCGTGGCGGAGTTAAACGCTTTACTGAGTGACCCTCTAATTTGTTACTGAAGTTGATACGTTTACAAATACATGAATAGCGCGTGTCCATAAATTATTGACCCACATTATTGGGTGAACAGAATAGGAATTAGATCAAATAAACAGCTGTAGTTTGTGGCATGTAGAAGACTGATCTCTAAAGTTTTCCCTGTAGCGCGTGTCCATAAATTATTGACCCACATTATTGGGTGAACAGAATAGGAATTAGATCAAATAAACAGCTGTAGTTTGTGGCATGTAGAAGACTGATCTCTAAAGTTTTCCCTGTAGTTTAAATTTGGGTATGTAAATGACATTGTCTATAGGATGAAAATACTAAATGTGACATCATTACATGAGACTGACGTGTCAAGTTTTTTAAGTTTAATCTAATGAAACATTCCGAAACATATATATCCAAATATATATAGAGATGCTACAAATAAATGTTAGAAAAAACATTTCTTAAAAATAACTTGACGAAATAGTTTTAAAACTATTTTGATGCTATTATTTGTTTGTAGCTTTGTAGTTAAATACAAAGCTACGCAATGGGCTACCTGTGCTGTGCTCACCTCGGGTATCGAAACCCAGTCTCTAGCGTCATAAGTCCGCAGACTTGAATACCACTGTGCCACTGGGGGCTTGATGCTATTTCGAAGTTAGTGAAATCTTTATTCATTTCTTTTGTATGGGCTGATTTATGGTATTTAAAGAAAAAAATTATCCTTATCATCTACCATCCCCCCCCCGAAAAAAAAAAGAAGAAGAACTAGGATGAAATTATAAAATGAATGTAAGATTATCCGCGTACGTTTTGATATCGTGATTCATCCACTATCAAAAAGAAAATGAAGCCCGAGGGCAAAAACTTAAGTGGAAAATTGAGTAATTTCAAGATTATCCACATTTTAGGACAGTCTTATGGATGGCAAGATCTGATATCTGTCCTTAAGGTATCACCTCTCAGCTTACCCCAGATTGGGCGATTTGGTATGTGATGTAAGCTTATATCCACATTTTAGGACAGTCTTATGGATGGCAAGATCTGATATCTCTCCTTAAGGTATCACCTCTCAGCTTACCCCAGATTGGGCGATTTGGTATGTGATGTAAGCTTATATCTTTTCCTATATCAGTTCACTTTATCAAAGGGCTTGTTTATTTGTAATTAAGCACAAAGCTACACAATGGGCTATCTGTGCTCTGCCCACCACGAAGTATCGAAACCTGGTTTCTAGCGTTG